CTTTTGCTGTCCCCTGGGAGCTTCAAAACCTAATGCTAAGCCGGGGTCATACGCCAGAAGCCTAACCTAGGAGGATTGGTGGAGCTATGGCGGCACCTCGCGGTAGTTCTTGGGGGGGGGGGTTAGCATATATATATATATATATACACACAGAAACACACATACACGTGTGTGTGTATATATATATATAGATATGTATACATACTGAGAGTGAGAGAGAGGGAGATAGACAGAGAACTTATAGGTCAATAGACTTCTCTAAGCGAAAGGGTCCCTGTTTCGTCCACAGACGAAAGCCCCAGTCTTAGAATCAAGATCATGAAAGGACTTAACAGGAGATCGTGGTTCTGAGAAGCCGCCCCCCCCCCAAATCTGCCGGTGTATTGAACAGAACTTTACCCTGTCAGAGTCTGCAAGAGATAGTTCATGGAGATCCGATTTGTTTGGGCTTAGATAGAAGCCTGATGAAGAAGTGTACACAAGGAGTCGATGCTCCTTGTTGTAAGGGCTTCGTTCGAATGCAAAGGCACGGAAGCAGCCTGAGTCCAAGTCAGACTGGCCCGAAGGATCCGTAGCATAGGGACTCACAAATGATAAGGGCGCATGACGGGGCATCCCTCAGCAGTAAGACATCTACCGCCACACTGCTCGTGTTGGCCAGGCAGAAGCAACATCAACATCCCGATCGTTACAGAGATGGTGTTCGGCCGTGTGTCGAAACCTTCGTCGAAAGACTTCACCGGCACTTCTCTGTGCTCCAGATGCACTTGAACATGTTTTCTTCTGTGTCTTTGCAATCAGGCCGGCAAGGCTTAAACCCGAAGGCCCCAAGGCCCTTAAACCTTGCACCCAAAACCCCAAAATCCCTAAACCCTAAATCCTAAACCCTAAACCCTAAAGCCATTCGCCCTCAAGCTGTCGAGCCTGAAGCCTCGAACCGCGAGGTACATCTGGTACGACTTCTTCTCCTGCCCCCAAGATATGCATGGAGAAGCCCCACTCCACCGAAGGCAGGCCATCAACTCAATTGTGAGCTACATCTCTCAGCGCCTTGCCAAAGGACGGAATTAGGAGGAGATATTGCAGAGTTTAGCGTAGAGGGGAAGCAGTGTAGATGGATGATAGCTCCTCCGCCTTTCTTCCCCGATCGAAAAGTGCCGTCGGAGCGTCTGAGTGCAGAACCTACAGGCCGTTTTTAGACCCTACACCCCAGAATTGTTATCAGTCCTAATCCCACCCTAAACCCTAAAGCCTAAACCCTAAACCCCAAACCCTCAGAATTGTTATCAGTCCTAATCCCCAAGCCTAAAGACGACCGACCCAGGTGCAAGTACTTCGTCATCCTCTGTCCGGCCTTGACCCATGTGGATCTGCATCAGGAGCTCGGTCAGGAGATATAGCACCTTAAATAATAGGATCCCTATTATAAGGACCCAAAATAAGGTTTAGGGTTTTAGGGTTTAGGGTTTAGGGTCTTGTTTTTGGAAACTCCCATCTGGATCTGCATCAGGAGCTCGGTCAGGAGACCTGGGCAGAACGTGGTTGGTGCAGCCGCTCGACCTGTCAAAAAGGGGGAAGATAGGGCCTTAATAACCACCTATACTATTTTGGAGCTTTCCCTTTTTGTGTAATCTTATGCCCCCAACCCTAAACCCTAAACCCTATTCTAATTATTTAGGCATCCAAGACCCGAAACCCTGAACCGCAAAAGCCCAAACCTGAAACGCAAAGCCGTAAACCCTTAGGGTTTAGGGCTTTGTGGCTTAGGGTTTGGGGTTTAAGCCTTGCCTAAACCGTTGGGATACGAAATCCGCGTGTGGAGATCAGTTTGCATGGTAGCTGCTGTGTGTTCCTGCGGTTAACTAAGGCACCTCGTGGGCTTGGGGTTTATGTAGCTGTAAGGGTTTAGGATTTACCTAGCTTGAGGAGTCTGGGTAGGGTTGTGCAGCAATTTGCGAAGGGTCGTGCGTAAGCACGACTACCCTACACCCAGAACCCCAAACCTTGAATATTGAATATGTGTATTTATATAATTAGCCCTGAAAGTAACCTCCATAGTAACCTGTAGAATGAAACCAAGCCCTAAACCCAAGAAGATTACAGAACCCGTTACAAATCCTTCTAGTGCGCCTGTTTGCAACACCTCTGAAATAATCCTTATAGCAACTCTTTTGGTATCTCAAGCCGTAAAAGAACCTCTCTAAACCCTTCTAACTTAGCAAAAACTCTACAGGAATCGCAAGCCACAAAGCATTAAACCCTAAATCCTAGGCCCTGAGCCTTAAACCCTAAACCCTAAACCTAAACCTAAACCTAAACCTTATACTTGGACAAACCAGGAACGGAGCGCTTGGCCATGGAGCTTGCGGAGCGCAAGGATGGTGTCAATGCCTGTTTTTTGCAGGGTTTTTCTGGTGTTTCATTGGGGGTTTTATAGGGTTTAGGGTTTAGGGGTTTAGGGTTTAGGGTTTAGGGCTTCAGGGTTTAGGGTTTAGGGCTTCAGGGTTAGGGGTTGATGGTTTAGGGTTTAGGGTTTTACAAGGTTTGAGGGTTTGGGGTTTGGGGTCTTCAGTTGACGTATAGTAGAGGGCGTGTAATAAGTAGCAATACTATTCGCTCTTAGACTAGCATATTGCCAAAACCCAGATGTTTTAAGTTATTCAGGCCCACTCAACGGAACCCTCACAGTACTCTTACAGAACGCTTCTTGACGCCCTTCGCGGAAACCCCTATTCCAGTTGTGAATGCGGCATTACTTTAATGCCCCTAGACTCCCTCCATCTAAATCGTCCCCAAACCCTAAACCCTTAACCCAAAAAAGGCTGTATGCCGCTTTGCACAGTGTTTCTACCAGTGCACCTCCGACAAGGGGAGTGCCCCGCTAAACTCTAAACCCTGAACCCTGAACCCTAAACCTCGAGCCCTAAACCCTAAACCCTAAATCCTAAACCCTGAACCCTAAACCCTAAAACCCGACACCTCCCCCCAAACCCCAAGAACCCCTGTAAGTAGACCTTCCCTCGATGCCTTTTTTGCCCTAAAAGGATGGCGCCACCATCGTGATCGAGAGCGCTTCGCAGCTCCTCGGTTCATGTTTTTGGAATCAGGTCTGTTCTTCTTGTGAAGGTTTGGGGGTTTAGGGTTTAGGGGTTTAGGGTTTAGGGTTTAGGGGTTTCGGGTTTAGGGGTTTAGGGTTTAGGGTTTCGGGTCCATGATGCTTGTGGAAGTTGTCTTTAACTATCTGGCCTTGGTGTTGTGAATTCGGCAAACCCTAAACCCTAAACCCTAAAGCCCTAAACCCCTAAAGCCCTAAACCCCTAAACCCCTAAATCCTAAACCCTAAACCCTAAACCAATAAACCCTAACCCCCTAAACCCCTAAACCCCCCCAAAGCCCTAAACGCTAAGCCCAGGCTCTACTTAATGCTGGACGCACGCAGATATCTGGATGCACCCGGAGACGGAAAGTTCACCATCGAGGAGGACCGGCTCCAGATTGCCCGGGTGCTGCTCGGCTTTTGATTTAGGGGTTTAGGGTTTCAGGGTTTAGGGTTTAGGGTTTCAGGGTTTCGGGTTTAGGGTTTAGGGTTTCAGGGTTTAGGGTTTAGGGTTTAGGGTCTAGGGTTTGAAGTGCTTCTCTCGGGGTGGATAGGGGCCCCCTGCAGGGTTTAGGGCAGGACCCGCCGCCAGTACGCCCACTAAGGTCCAAAAAGGTGTTCGTAGGGCTGTTTTTGGGTGCAAAAAGGGGTGCCTTTTCTTGTTTTCGGGCTTTCCTAGTCAAAACTGCATAGTCGGACAGAGTTGTTTCCCATGGTAGCAAGCATAAACCCTAAACCCTAAACCCTAAACCCTAAACCCTAAACCCTAAACCCTAAACATAGCTGGGGGGAAGCCCAGGCTGGTTCAGATGGTGTGGAGGAAGCTGCTGTACTTGCTGGATCCTTTGCCATAGTTGGGTAACATTTTACATTTTTAAGGGTACTTAAACCCAATAAGGAATATAAAGATTAAGATTTTTAAGGGTACTTGAACCCAATAAGGAATATAATTGTAAATTTTTAATACTACCCCAACCATGAACAAGGATCAGGGTGACTGGCATGGCTATCGATTCCTTCTGAACACGCAGGCCACATGCATTTTCAAAGGCCTGGACGTCGCCCCTCTGGAGGGCCTGATGTCAGGCTTTGTACCAATGAGTGATCCGTTTGTTGACCGTACAGCATACCATGTGGAGTGGTTTCTGCATGAGAACGGCTTCCGGAGCATTTCGGAGCGAGACAGAACCGGATGGACGCCCCTGTGTTATGCAACCATGACTGGTAATGCAGGCTTGGTGGAGTCCCTGCTGGAAAAACGTGCGGATTGCAATGAAAAGATCACCAAACAGAAGCCAGAGCTAAGCATGTCAAAAGGCATGCCGGTTCTCTCCCTTGCCACGCTTTTTCAGAGCAACGAGATTGTCAAGGTTCTGCTGGCAGCAAGGGCGAAGGTGAACGCACGGGACAGTCGCCATTCTATCCCCCTGCATCTGGGATGTTCTTGAGCACAGGTTTTAAATTGCCTAAGTTGTGTTTCAACAAAGGCAGCTAAACTCAATGGTCCTGTTGTATGCTGAAGCAGTGCAGGCATTGGGCATGCCATTCCGACAACTTAGAAGCAACACGAATTCTTCTTGATGCTGGGGCTGATCTGCGAATGACGCAGCTGTTGGGATTCGACGCCTTCGCGTGTGCAGCGGGCCCCTCGATCCCATTTATAATTTTCAAGCGTTGTTAGTTAGATCCCCAGTGCTCAAGACTGCACTTCCAATGGACAGCCCCGGCCATAGTGACCCTAAGCCCTAAATCCTAGAACCCTCAAATCCCCACGAGCCTGAAACGCATCCCCTAGAAGCCTTAAGCCACATGGGTAGTTCTCTAAAACAGGGTCCCTTTGTAGGTCCCCAATATAGTACGGCACCCTTTTTAAAAGGACCCCAAAAGGGACCCTAATTTAGAAAACTACCCATCTCCGACGTCGTATCCGACGAGTGACACCCTCTCAGGCCCCGTCGCCCCTAAAGCCCCGACAGATCGAAAGAAGCCCGAAGAACTAGAAGGGTAGTTTTCTAAATTAGGGTCCCTTTTGGGGGTCCTCTT